CACAAAACTTCATTTATGTTAAAACTTATCGTCTTTTGAGTGTCTCCACTTACAGTCTTCCTTTCAAACAGGGCTCAGATAATGAATAGCCTAATCCAAATAAATAATTCCTCCATATCATTTTCTTTTCCTAGTTAACGAAGCTTAACAATACCATACTGTTTATACTAGTATGGTTTGCTATTCTAAAGAAAAATCGGAGAAATAGTGTTCTTGTTTTTCTTGCTGTTAGGTACACTTGATACATTAGTTTAAATTTTACACTGCTGTCTTTATTTAATATGCTCCTTGCATCTTTTCTTCATCTTCTAACTCACAAAACAATTTACGGATTTCTTCAGAAGAATACATTTTTTTTTGTATTTGCTATAGTAACAAAATAGTTTCTCTATATGTCTAAGTTGAAAAAACCACTAATTAACTAATAGAACATTAGCAATCCATGCCTGAATTATTCAAAGTTTGAAAATAATAGAGAAAACACTGGTATACGAAATTCACAGAACAGTTACATAGACAGCACACTGGGATGGGAGGCACCCAGAAGAGTCCCGTAAACAACACGGGTGCAAGATACCCCATAAGAACTTTCGATAAATCCCAATATTGATATAAGCCCAACAATGGAGCGCTAATGACTATAATTAGAATGTTCCCACTCTATTCGAGTTATCTCTTCGAACAGCCCTGATGAAGGCCTGAACTTCAGGTCCAAACGTCAGGAAATGTTAAAATATTTATTTTTGCCTTTTTATTTCTGACTGATCACCCCAACTATCCTTCTCTTCATTATAATTAGTATGGCTAAATATGATGTTTATTTACATGAAAAATTTTGACCAAAGAACTACTTATATAAAAGTAATTTAATATTTAAAATGTTGTGAGGTATGTCACAACCCAGTGTGTCGTTCTAGGGTTAAATATAATTATTTAGATTAAGTATTAAAATCCTATGTATAAAATTCTATCCTAACTATAATATTGATGAATAAATTATTAGTTAGAATAGAATATCAAAATAAACTTTATTCTGAGATGGAGTCCTCTCAGAATAATAATAATGAACAAATAAAAAAAAATACATATCTGGCCAAAAATTAAATTAATAAAAATTCCACCAATATAAACAGTAATTTAAATAATAATATGTATGCCACTGATTTAGCCGAAGCCAGATACCTATCCTTTCATGATAAACTCCAGTCCCATCCGAATCCACTTGTTTCCAGCCTTGCTTCTTCATCGATTCCCGATAATCTCCCTAGGCATCTGAAAAGAAGATGGCCTCGTGATCTTCTCACCTATAATTAAATAGGGAGTGCTACCACTGGGCAGTATCTTTTCAAGTCTGTTCATGTCATTATTTCTAATGTGTGAATTTTTGCTAGTTGTATTGTTTATACAGTTGTAAATTTCACTAAATAAATAATAATATGTTAAAAATAAAATATTCTCAAGAATAGTTATAGTTGTAATGTGATAACAGAAAACAAACATATGCAAATATATAAAAATAAAAAACAATACCTGGAGAAAAAAAAAACAATAGGCTAACTTAATAAAAACTATCTTAATAAAATAACCAGTTACTATTGAGCCTTTCAGTTGACAGAATGACCAGCTCCAATTTCAACATTTTTGCGTGAAGTCATTTTACTGATATTTCTATTTAGGAAATTTATATCTGTACATACAGTGTGTAAGTAGATCCCAGAGTAGGTGATTGCACTATTAAAATATAAAACTATGAATAAAGCTACAAATTTTCCCACTAGAAATACAACTAAAGTTAATAATAAAAAATTATGAAATTGGAGTTCAAATGAGTCATTGTTTCAACTGAATGGCTAAATTATAGTTGCATATCCATTTCAAGAAGTAGAAACTTTTTCAAAACTTCTCAAAGTTATAAAATAATCTAAATACCAGTAAGTTAATAAGTTTATTCATCCTTAAAAAATTATAATAAGATCTGGAATAATAAAAATTAAGTTTGTGAAATTCTAACATAGCATATAATCAAATAGTTGCTTGAAAGTCTGATTAGTATAAATCACCAGCAGATCCAGGATTCAATTTTGGGGGGCTGCAGCCCGAAAGCTTTTTTTCATATATATATATATATATATATATATATATATATATATATATATATATATATATATATATATAAAACAATAATTAATTTGAAAAAAAAATAAAGAAATTAATTATCTATATGAAATGGTGTTTAAGTAATTCTTGAAATCCTATTAAATGTAATTATACAATCAATAATATTTTAAGAGATAGCTTTTTATATTTTTTTCCATACAATATAGTTGAACAATTGTTATCTGAAGTTTTGCTATTTGCACATTTGTAGTATTTGATTTAATAATAGTAGTATAGGACAAAAATGACCCAGACAGTCCAAAAACACAAAACATTTTTATAAATGAATGAATAAAACTAGAACCATTTTTAAATACTATAAAACATGGTAGTTTTAATATATATATATATAAAAAGTCACATATCCCATTTATTTCATGAAATATATTGCGGAAGCGTGTGCGCCCTATGAAGTAAGTGGTTTTAAGGTCTAAGAATATCCTAAAATATCAAATATTGTAAAATAACAAAAACTATCAAAGCATCAAAAGACCTAAAAACACGGTTATATAGAATTTATAAGGTTATATTTTACCATTTTGGGAGGAAGGTGTCAGCCTATAGGCGCCGACTACTAGGGGCTCACAGGTCTTGAGCCCCTCCCCCCAATGCTGTTGTTGTTGAGGCTTAGCTCCCCCAACAAATGGCTATAGTATGAACTTCATGAACATATTGGTCGTGTACATTACAATTCCATTACAAAGGACTATATGTATCTATTAGCAGGTATAGTAAAATTTGTTAAATGGTGTCCTATTTTGGTCAGAGCTTGACAGACCTCCACAACAGCTTATCTTCTCCATCATTCCTCCTCCTCCTCTCCCCCAATAATTTTCAAGCCAATGTCTCCCGCTCATTTTACTAGTCAGCTGAGCCAACATCTAGATGAAAGATTTATATACCATTGGATTTATCACAGTAGTCTGATTATTTAACCTCCAAGATCACCAGACCTCACATTACTGAATACTAGGTGATTTTGAAATTTCTAGCCTCTTGTAAATATTACAAATCTAAAACTTATTCATTTATATTCCCTTTCCTTCAATCCAATGTTAACCCTCTTTCTTTTCTACTCCTTTGAAAGATTAAAAAAAAAAAGCCTTGAGATTCAATGTTTTCTTACTTGGATCGCTGTTTGTTATAGCTAGTTCCTATGGGTGCCCATAGAACGCACTTAGGTTTGTTGCGATATCGGGAAAGTTCCGATATTTCCCATAGATATCGATATAAGTATAATATCGAATAAAACATTTCAAATGGCTTCTATATCAAAATGGAATTGTTGAGATAATTAACAAATACATCGTTATGAGATCCAAATCAACTAGTTAGCTTTTCATTTCATAAAATAGTTATCTTATAAAAGTAATTTAACGAATAGTCTTGTTTAGGAACGCATAATACAAACCGTACCAAAAAAGTCGATAAACATTCTCTTATATCTGTTTTTTGGACGTTACTACACTTCATTTTCCGAAGAAATAAGCAACTTTGACTTTTTTAAATACATGTATTTCTAATTTTGAAAATGAACAAATGAGTTCATACATTATTGATCAAATGCAATAGTTACATATGATGAAAGGGATCAATGATTGGTATCGTCATTTTTATCGATTGCCATATTCTTGGTTCTTAAACGAGTCTTATGGTGATCAATGGACAGTACTCATTAAACTTTGTTAATTTCTTTGTTGTTAATTAAATAGCTCCGGATCAGTATCAACGATACATGAATACTCTTAGATAAATATTATTAGATCTTATCTAATCAGGTCTATGATCTGGTAGTATTGTTTTAACGATTTTTGGGCTTCGATGGTATGGACACGTTTTGAAGATGGAAAACGATAGATGACCAAAAGAAATGTTTCCCTATACAAGCCTGAGTATAGAAAGAAGGTAGGATGAAATTCCAGTGAACATTTATTGTTGGCCCAATGTTAGGAAATGCTTTTTCACAAACGGTTGGAATAGGTCAATCGGATTACTGTTTACTAAAACCATACATCTAGATCTAAAGAAGGATATGGCTTCAAACGGATTTCGAGAGGAATGTTTCGATATGAGCGTTTGATAAGAAAAAACTCTTGATTAGCTATCATAATAATTGTACAATACCGAAAAAAAATATTTGCTCTTTCATAAAAATAATGAATTGATAGAAATGTTCTTAATATTTAGGAAATTAATAATTTTTGAACTAATGAATAAATAAGCGTAGTTGTAATTAAAAATCATGTATTATTTAAATGTTCCGATGAGGATGAAAAATTTTGAACATAAAGGTGCGTTTAGATATTTCACAAACTATGGGAAACACAATTATCTAATTTAACCAACAGAAAAATTATTGCTAAACCAAACTATTTATTTCATTTCTCGTAATACCGTGATAGCAGATGGAAAATATTAAAAACAAGAAACAAAAATACTAGCATAGTGAAATAATCATTTATATATTTGTTTGTCCCAAAGTTTGTGAAATATCTAAATACACCTTTAACGCTAATGACGTCAATACCGTTGAACTTTTATTGAATTATTTGGTTTACTTTGATGTTTTCACAGTTTTAGCTCTTTGGTATTGTCATTTACAACTGTCATTTAAAAGTACTTGAAATCCATGAGGGGAATGAATCAGTATCAATTTTATCATGGAACGAGTTCTTTTTTATTTTTTTCATTGTATAAGGATTAGTAAATTAATATGAAATTATCTCAAGTGTATTCGTTACCGTTTATTTATTCGGTTGTAACGAAAAGATTGAAATTGTTACCAATATATTCTTAATTTTAAAATGTACTTAATTTATAAGTAATAAGCGGTTTGAAAAACCATGGTTTTAGTAACAGCTGGACCAGCAGAAATATTGAGGTCTTCCCAAAAGGATGAATTAGCCCTGGGAAAACTTCAAAAACTATGTGATGATGTTTTCTTAAGTTTGTTAGGTAAAAATTGTTTATTAATTAATTTCAGTGATGTATCTGTTACAGTTTTAAGTAATAAAATTAAACAAATAAAGTCACATTTGGCAACCAACTCTGCTGTGTTTAGATTCGGTCTAATCATTGTTTATGTTAAGATATTAAAGGCTAGAAAATGTATAAGGGTCAACTTAATTATATTTAACTAATATGAAGTAAATTGTGAAAGCTATATATTCCTCTGATTGATTGTAATTGTCCAAGTAGTAAAATCACATTTACCTCTTAAATATACAAGCAGAAAACAATTGTAAAGTTTACTGAAGACTATTGCATTTCCACGCTTTAGTTGGGGGACCGAACCAATATTGGCTAATCAGAATCTTAAGGAGGGAAATGTTCTACTTTATTAATGTCTTCATAAGGTCTTTCTTAATTATTTATAAAAGAAGAAGCTGCATTTATTATTAGGTATTATAATTTTAGTAATTACCAAATACTGGTAAGAAATGTCATTGTAGTTCAACTGTACAAGAGCCACTTCCACTTTTTCTAGTGGACCAAGATCTCACGATCACACTGTGGAATTCTGAGTATTCATCTTATAGCCTCCCTTCCTTTAATCCAGATTTATAAAATAGCAAAATTCCATTACTGCTTTTGAATTCTGTTCACTCAAAACTGAAAATAGATAAACAAACTACCAACTGTTCCTTTTCAATTGAAGTAAGGGACTTATCACACAGTTCAGTCACATTTATCTAAATTTAAGCACATTCAACCAATCTGAGAATCCTATTTATAGTGTGATCATTGGATCTTGGCCCAATGGTCAAAGTGGAGCGATATTTGTACAAAAGTATGCTATTCTTAAATAGTAAGTAAGAAATTATTGCAAGCCTAAACTTAACTACATTGCCTATTAATTTATAGGTCCTCGATTACTGATAAAATATAAATCTGTTATTCAGCGAATTGGTCAATTACTGTATTTTGGCAATACAACGCTCCTAGGTTTTCAGACTCTTGGTGAAGAATACACTGGAATTTTACAAGTTGATGATACGTTTCAATCTGTACCTTCCATATTGGTAAAGATTTTATTTTATTTTAAATTTGACATTATCCCATTTTACAAGATTATGAGATTTTTTTATATATATATACCTACCATTATTTGTATTTATGTTGAGGTGGTAGATGGTCCGGGGGGTGGGGGTCGTAAGAAAACTTAAAGTAGTAAAAAATTTATTTTAAGCCTAAAATAATATATTTTTCCAATATTTTAAGTTGTTTATGATTGCCACCCCAGACCATCTCTTTTTTCAATATTATACCACAGTCAACCATTGAGTACTTGATATTTATATTAATGGCTTATCAAAATTTATCTCACCCTTATTATCATGAATTGGGTTGGCAAATAAGTTCTTTCGGTTTTTCAGAATGAAATAAAAGTCAATGTATTATAGACATAAAATTTATTTTAATCTAAAATTGACCATTATTTAACATGACTTTTTTCCCATCTTTCCACTAACTCCATAATGCCATGTTCCTAGAATGTCTGGAGTTTATTGTTAAAATGCTGATCCAAGTGGTTTCTGATGTCATCTTCTTTTTGGAATTTCTTTCCATTCGTGGAGTTCTGCAGATACTGGAATAACTGATGGTCACTTGGCGCTAAGTTTGGTGAATAGGAAGGGTGTGGCAAAAGGCCCCATGCAAGGCTCAATAATTTATTGCGAGTGACCAATGAGGTGTGAGGGCTAGAATTGTCTTGATGGAACACAACACCCTTACGATTCGCCAGTTCTGGGCATTTATTTTTAATTGATTGATCCAATTTTGTTAATTGTGAGCAGTATAGAGGTGAATCAATTGTTTGTCCTGATGGCAATACCTCATAGGTCCCCAAGATTTTCTACGGATTACATTATCGTAAAATATTCATTTTTCACCTCCTGTTACCAATCTTTTAAAAACTGGGTCATTTTTGTTGCCGTTTCCGTAGTGAATCAGAGATGCGTGTTGCCAAGTTAGTTGACTTCGGTAGAAAGTGAGGGACTCAAACATTAAGCCTGGAAACATAGCTGAGCAAATGGTTTTCTACGCTTGTGTGCGACATATTTAGGGCCATAGCAATCTCTTGCACTAATTGTGTGGGATTTTGACCTACAATGGCCTTAACATTGCTCGTTTCAATTTCATGTGTACGACCAGACCGTTGAGCATCATTGGTTTCCTGAATAAAATTTGGCAAACTAATTTTGACAGGTGCATTCGGTTAAGGCATCATCCCCATAAACACTGCAAAATTTTCTATGAGCTTCTGGAGAACGCTTGATTTTTTAAAAAAGAATACAATAAAATATGCCGATAATGAATGATATTTTCTTCCATATTCATAGTGCAATAGCAAACACAATACTAAGCTAGTTTCAACAAGAGTTAACAGATATAGTTGTTGTCATATTACAAACAGGATAAACAATCCACCTTAGGCGTTAATTCATCTGCCAAGAAGTGTATCATAGTGACATAAAAATAAACAGAAAACCGAAAGAACTTATTTGCCAACCCAATACTATGGTCGACCATTGAGTACTCAATATTTATATTACTGGCTTACCAAAACTTATCTTTCCCCTATTATCATGTATAAGATATATATTTAGGGATTTAACTATCCTTTTCATTTTCTTAAGGTATTACTAGCTATTAAATAGCTGAACAGCAGAGACAAGTTGTATGTAAAATATAGAAAACTGATGCAAAGCAGTTCCTCCATTGTTTTATCAGACATTGTTTAAATTATTTCTCTGTTCATTTTCATCTCCAAACTTTAAATAGCAATGTTCCTAAATCAATCAAAAGACTCCTCATCATCCTCAAACACCTCTTTAAAAAAAATAATTGACTATGTTAAATCTAAAGGTAATCATTATTTTCCTCAAGTTGACATTGATGCGTAGTGGTTGGGAGACCAATCTGGTAGCATTGAAATAATTAAATGACATCATAAAAAGTTAAAATTCATAGAACTATATGAAATACAGAAAATTCTTTGAAATTAAAAATATAAAAATAATGTTTTTCATGATTCAATGGCACTAGGCCAACCTGAATTATGATTTTGAAAACAATTATTACTAGCAGTATCATATATTACCAGTTGAGATCAAATAACCTCGAATAATGTTAGGAGTGATATTAACACATCTTTAGTATCAAGGTCCGAATAACAGTATAAATGTATAAATTTTATTTTCCAGACTCGTGTCTTGATGATTTTACTTCAGTGCTATGGATCTGAATTGTTTATTCTATTTATCAATGAGTTAGAAAAAAATACAAAGCAGAATCAGGAATTAAAAGCTGAACTTAAAAAGAAAATTTTGCAATGGTTAGCCTTGATAAAAATATTGCTTCCATCTGTTACGCTTTTACATAAAACTTTATTTTACTGCAGTTGTGGAACTTACCATATCTCAAAGAGAATAACTGGTGTTAATTATGTAAGTATTTCATAAAAAATTACTTATCCATTGATTCATTTAATAAAAGATTTTGGTTGATTTATAAGTGTATTTATTATTTTTAGGTTTTAATAAGATATTGGTTAAAAGATAGAAAATCATTGTTCGGATTTAGAGTGCTAGCGATTATTAGTGCTATTAATTGTATCTTACACACTTGGCAGTCAGTTTCCGATTACTATAAAAAGGAACCCGAATCGACGTCCAGTGATGAAATAGAAACATTTACCACATATGGAACTACATCTGTTAAGAAATGTGTAATGTGCCTTAATAGGTTAAAAAACCCTACCGCAACAATGTGCGGCCATGTTTATTGTTGGTCCTGTATTGCCGAATGGGCTCAAAGTCAAGACAAATGCCCTGTTTGTAGAGAGATTGTTAAACCTTCAAGACTTATTCCTCTCCATAATTATGTATGAAAATTACTGGTAATCGTAATTTATATGTATTACCTAATTTTGTTAGTTAATAAATTAGAATTGTTTATGTTTTTTATACTTTGTTTTATTTTAATTTGTTAAAAGAGTCATTTTATTTATAACAATCTATTAGGAAACTTCCTTATAAATCGTAAATGGTAAAGCTTTTGAATTTATTTTTGACTTTCTAAGGTAAGTTCCTTAATTTTTATTATCTTAATAAGTATCTTTTCAGTGAATTAATTTTTTTTTCTTTTTTACCCTGTATGATTTCGTAGATAGTTTTATAATTTAAACTACTGAAGGATATGAATATATATGCTGCAACTATGGCTGGAATCGAAGATCATTTTTTTATCACATCTTTGATCCTAAAAGGAAAAACCGGCAATATAGTTGTTTTTGTGGGTTGCCTATAATTTAAGGTTACATTCTTGCTTTTAGTAAGATTGATGTTTATGAAAATTATTAACATTTATTGATTTCATTTCTAAAATAAATTAAACTTAAGACAAATAAATACACATTAGATGGATGATAGCTACTGTAAAAGATTTGTCTCAGGTTGGTTGAATAGGTATGCTAAAAATTGTTTACGGGTAAATGAGTGCATAGAAACTATTGAAGTATTTTGGACTTAATGTTCTAAGGATGTCAAATTGCAATGATAGTACTTGTAAACGTCCAAGGAGAAGACCAAAGTTCGAATGGAATGATTGCATTCAGGCTCATCTTGCTGCTTAAGATCCAGAAGAGGGTTTTTAAATGGCAATTGGTAATATGGGAATCAAACCTTTGTGTTGATTATTCATTACCAAATATGCACAATGATCTGGAAACAAGTTACAGAGGGTCTTCTTTATTCCTCTCCAAGTAAAGACATCCAATCTGAAATTGTGGCCCAGTGTTGCTCTAACATTCACAAGTCTAGCAGCGCCAGTTCGAATCCCCCCTGACCAGGTTGAAATTTATTTTGTGGCAGACCTATGGAATGAATCTCGACCTTCCCAGTTTGGTTGTACCTCCTCCTTATGCCAAACATGGTGTACTAGGGGGTAAACAAAAAAAAAACTCATGCATTTATCACTGTTGGACTTTCAGTATGCCCCTTCAGCGGCCAAGGCACTTCATATCAGAAAAGTTGAATTTTTTTTAGTGATTGATGACTAGTAAAACTGTGCAAGTGGCTATGGTCAGTATGAACTACACAACAAAATTATTAAGGCACTAATAATGGGTGCTGATTCTTGATTCAGTAACACAGTGGAAATGTGAATACCTGTCTGGCAAAATTTATTTCATATGAAGAAATATTTTTTTAAAAATCATATTTATCAATTATTTCACGAGCTAGAACAACCCAACAAGGGGCACCAATCCACTCTACACTGGCCTAGTGGACAACATATGATCTATAAAGCATATGATCCTCTTCATAAATAGCTCACCTCACAAACTATGTTCCAACATCCTAGATAGTTTCTTAATGGTACAGCCCTACTTGCAAGGAACAGTACTACATGTAGGTCACAAAGAAGAATTAAGTAAATCCTTATGTAGAAGAATTAGACCTCCTTGTTGCATATCCTGACAATTACACCAGATTCAAATGGACAACAAACATTTTTAGTGAAACATTGGTTCCTGCTGGTACTCAAACTAAGTTAAAACACTCTGAGTCTGCATGTTCCCTCTCCCCACATACTTTAATCGATTAAATTTGGAAAGCAAATTGGTAGATTAAGGGGGGAAAAAAGTGTTTGCTACAGAAATCATTTTGGAAAGAAAGGGTATTATAGAAAAGCAAACTATCTGCATGTCTATGTTAAGTTTGATTCTGTCGAGGGCTTTTATGTTGGTAGAACGACAGAAATTATTTTAATTTATTATTACCAAGCTTAGAAACCGTTCTCCTTTTTTTTTTTTTTTTTTAATCTAAAACACGGAATCATCTTGAATTAAGTTTCTTGACTATCTATTAAGAGGTTATGCTTCATAACTAGTTCTTTGACACATTCGAAAATGCACACGTTAATTTTGTTTTTATAGTGAACAAAACATTCGATATGAGACTATAAAGCGACAAATTAATATATTTTCTGTTTGAAAAAAATAATGCTTCTTTGTTTTTTTTTTAAGGATCGATAGTTATAGTCGAACGAATGACTCGTTAGCGAATTATGGTGTACGTTGTGGCAGTGCTGTTAAAAACCCCTAATCACAGTATTTGACTGTTGCCTGATTAGGCCATAAACTAAATATTGTTATAGTTTTGGCATTTATTAAAAGTTAAGAATGACATCCTTAAGAGATAAACAGATAGGTTTGTTATCATTTTTAAATTACTTATAATTAAAATAAATCCCAAAATACCTAATAACAATTTTTACTTATCACAATGTTGATTCATCCTAATTCTCCTTATTACTATCTTAAATATATTATGATATTCAGAATAAATCTGAACATGTATGGTCTAATTTTCAAGCTATTCCTCAAATTAACATATTGTATTTAATTTAAAGAGTTCAACCAATGTCACTTGGCCTGGATTGATATAGTGTTTTGTAGTTATACCTTTTTGATATTTGATGATTTATTTCTACTTATATATTAATGTGATCAGAAGGAAAATATGGTCCTGAATTGAGGCTTGATGTTATAGGAGTGAAATCTAAATTCAATGAAAAGATGTCCTGGATATAATATTTTTTCCTCTCCTTGCTACTGGTTGCGGTCTTTCATCTTATTGATAAGATCGATACCGGTAGCAAAAAGGTGATAAAAAAATTACATAGGGAAGTACATCTTTTTATTGAATTTTAAAATATGTTATAGCATAGTATCTTGATTATATTAGTGAAGAAGGAATTGTACCATCACTGTTTTATTATTTACATTAGGTGCCCTTAGGCAGATGTTAAATCTAAATCAACCAGAATCTAAAGGAATAGCGACCGAACCAGTTTGGAAAATATTAATTTATGATCGCTGTGGACAAGATATAATTTCTCCTTTGATATCTGTCAAAGAGCTCAGGGAAATAGGAGTAACTCTTCATGTGTATGTTTTTAAATTATTTATTTATCATTGTGTTATCTTTATTTTTCATTTTTGTATTTTTAAATGTTTTCTTGGCAGACAGCTTCACTCCGATAGAGATCCTATTCCTGATGTTCCTGCAGTGTATTTTTGTTTGCCGACTGATGAAAACTTGGGTAGGATAAGTCAAGATTTGCAAAGGAATGTATACGATATCTATCACTTAAATTTCATATCTCCTCTCTCAAGGCAAAGACTAGAGGATCTTGCTTCAGCTGCTCTGCAAGCAAATTGTGTTTCGAATATTCATAAGGTCAGTTGGATATTTAATGGTCCTCCTTGTATATAATGAGGGAAGAGATGTTCGGAGGTGTCAGAAAAAAAAAATTGTGTAAAATATTTATTAAAACAGGTTTTGACCTACTTTGCAGGTCTTCCATCAGGACTGAAATAATTAAGATACGAAACAATGTACAATATGGTAGGAGTATACAGTTAAGATTAATGACACTTAGAAATATGAAATAACTGCTAACAGAGTAAATAAAAACTATATTAAGGACGTTGAAAAGTAAAACAGTAATAACAGATATAGAGTGAATTATTTTTTACTATAGAAATCTCAAATTAAGGACGTACAATGCTAAATGTCTGCAAGACTTGGACACTTAACAGCATCTTCGAAGGAAGGATTGAAAGATTTGAGAGGAAAATCTCCACACATTATCTGGATCAAAGTACTAATGTATGGAGGAGAAAAGCCAATAAAGAACTATTTATAGACACAGGTCAATCAATATTTCATAATATGAAATCTAGTTTTAGATGAATGTGCTATGTAGCTTACAGCAATGGAGGGCGAGCGGGCTAATATTTGTGCACATTACTGCATTGCATGGTAACCAGATGGAATAATTAGATACAATAATTACGAGTTCGAGTGCTGCTGAGGGAAGGCTTTTAACTGTGTTATTAATCTCCCGCCCTCACCACATGGAAGGCCCATAAAGCAGATTTATAGACCAAATCAACAAAGATGCTGCAGATAACTGGAAAGATATAACCTTTGATAAACAGAGATGGAGAAGGCTGGTTAAAGACAGCAAAAGATCTCTGTTAATAGTTATCTCAATTCCTATGTTTCATTAATCTTAACTTAAGACTCTTTACAATATTTTTTCATTTTATCTCTGGTGAACATCGACAAAACGGGTCAAAACTTGGTTTTCAACGAAATATTTTTACTATTTGAATTTTTTTTTTAATGTCACCCCGGACTATCTACCCTCATAAAGTCAGTTGATTCGTTAATATTTATTCTATTATTATTCAGATAAAAATTATTTACGAATTTTATTTATGTAGGTTTTTGATCAGTATCTTAATTTCATTTCTCTAGAAGAAGATATGTTTATACTTAAACATCAAAGTAGCGATGAAATATCATATTATGGTGAGTTTTTGTTTATTTTATTTTCATTTAGTTGCCTAATTATTTATTCTACTTTATTTTCTTTTATTTTAAATGCTTTTTTATTATTATTTAAATTCTGTTTCATTTATAATATTATATAATAATTATGTTGAACATTGAGTTACCTAATGAATTTGAAATATATATTTAATGGTTAATAAAATTGACAATTTGACTATTGTTCGCTTAGTAATAATAATGCTTTATTTATTCTGGGACGAGTCCCTTTAGAATAATACAGAGAGACAAAAATGTGGGCTAAGGAGCCTCAGAGATACATAAACAAGAATATAGTTTGATTAAATAGTAAAAAAAAAAAATAATAATAATAAGAGAAATTATAAGTTACTTTCTAATTTACATCAGTTAAAAATAAAAAATTGAAAATAAACATGAAGTAAAAATAATAAAGAACGGTCTAATAATTTATGTACATATTTACAGTAGTAACTATTCACAATTTTATGAGGACTGGATGGATAGTATATAATATTTTTATATCTCAGAAATGCCATCTTCTTTCTAAATCATTTGCCCATATTTCTCTTAAAATTGTTTACTTAATCAGCAACTTGTGGCAAAACGATTGTTGATAAAACTTTATTGAACTTTTATAAATATTCATCGATAATAATATAATATAATACTAATTTAACATTTAGAGAAATAAACTAATATTAATTTTATATAGTAAACTATTTTAATATAAAATTTGTTGCAGCTATTAATAGGGGAGATATAAAAGATACTGAAATGGACAGTATCATGGACTCAGTTGTAGATAGTTTATTCTCAGTATTTGCTACATTAGGTATGTATCTATTGTTTGTTTGTTTTTTTATGAATGGGTAGACTATTAATTAATTATTGAGTGAATGAATCATCATATTGTAAATTTAGCATTTAATAATTATTTTCTGAAAATTTCCTATAAACCTGTTTTTTCATTGTATTCATTCATAAAATCCCAAAATGTCCTAATTGTACATTTCTTTATATTTAATGACTAAACTTAAAGATCCTTATAAAAAATATATATAAATTATTTTCCTCCCTGCTGCATTTCTACTTTTGGATTAAATGAGGTTAATTTCACTACTTGTTGTGTTTTTCTGTTCACAACAATACCATAGAAATTGGGGTAAATTACAGTCCCAATTTTGGCATATCCAAATTGGTTGAAATTTTGTTGGTGAATTGAGTTAGGAAAGAACCTTTTTGAGATCTCAACTCTGTTCTCCATTTTGTCCATTTTGACAAATGAGATTTTGAAAAAAATAATAAAATTTTCAATAGTAAAAAACGAGAAAGAAATAATTGTTCAATTGGTTTCAAAATTCTATGCAATTCTCTCGAGTAAACATCAATAAAATAATTAAATCAGTTATTTCACAAATGATAAGTGAATTTTTTTTCTAGTTTTGAGTTGAGTTGTTCTGAATACATTATTCATTTAGTACAAAATAACACATTGCTTAATATGTTTATAAATATACATTGATCATTTATGCTTCATATTTTTTGTATATTTTTATATTTGTTTTATAATTTTTATATTTATATAAGATGTTTCCTAGAGATTGAGAAAAATTAATATTTTAAATAAATTCAAGTTTTTGTTGAGCTTGCTGTATTTATATTTTGGAATCCATAAAGATTATTAAATTAACTGGCAAGCTATTGTATTAGAAGTAACCACCTTTATTTTAATTTAGACATGTTATGTGTTTTCAGGGACTGTACCAATTATTCGATGTCCTAGAGGAAACGCAGCTGAAATGGTTGCTGAAAAATTAGATAAAAAACTTAGAGAAAATCTTAGGGACACTAGAAATAGCTTATTACTTATGGATACTGTTCAAGCTGGAAATTTTAGGTACTTAAATTTATTTACTTTATTTAATTAATGAATATGGAAGAGTTTGGGAGAAAAAATAGATATTGTTGATATAGAAATTCAATATATGTGTTGAATTATACATTTGATTTTTTTTTTTTTTTTTTTATGATTAAATGTTAATAAAATTGAAAAATACAGTTTTCAGAGACCTTTGCTGATTGTTTTGGATCGGAACGTTGACATGGCGACTCCACTCCATCACACATGGACCTATCAGGCTCTTTGCCACGATGTTCTTGATCTGTCGTTGAACAGGTTAATCGTGGAAGAAAGTGCTGGTAAATCTCCAGGAGGCGGTGCAAGGGCTAAAGCCAGAGCCTGCGATCTTGATAGTAAAGATAAGTTCTGGGCTGTGCACAAGGGAAGGTAATTAAATTTAAATTTGATAACTAGAATTATGTCTTCTCTATATAAATAAATAAATAATTTATATAAAAGACTGATATATATTTTTTTTTTTACTCAAATCATTTGTAGTCAATTTTCTTTTATGTATAATAAATAAATTATACATCTGTAGATATATTGGTGAGTGAATTTTACTTTAGCTGTCTGGTAGCCACCTTGTTTTTAGTACCTAATTAAATTAATTAATTAAATGAAAAAACACTTCATTTTTAATAATTTATGTTGATAAAAAGTTTGTAGATTACGATAAGATGAAGTCATTCACAGAGTTTTTTTTTTGTTTTTTTTCACTTACTTCTTTTTTCACAAAGTTTAAGACTATTCTGTTTGATATGTATTCATAACTTGCAATAATTATGTGTATTTCATGGTTTACAAATTTTAATTAATAAATATTCTGAGTTGTAGAGTTAATTTATTTTTTCATTTTAGTCCGTTTCCAAACGTGGCAGAGGCTATTCAGGAAGAGCTGGAAGAATATCGGGCCTCGGAGGATGAAGTGAAGAGGCTCAAAGCTTCAATGGTGAGCTTTTTTTTTTTTAATGTTAATTTACTAAAGATAATAATCTTTAAGTTTATAAATAAACAGTTTAAGTTTCATTTATTTCCTGATGTCTATTTTAGACATCAAATAAATCACTTATTTTAGAACCCATCAACATACATTTTTACATAATTTGTATTTAGAATAGAGTAAAAATATCAAATTTATTATGGGACAACGTTCCTTCAAGAATAACAAGATTGTTCATAGAAATTAGCATTACATTTGGCCAATGTATCTTATATATCGCTAATACTGATTCGATTCCGATGATTTTTTTTTTTTTTGTTTTGTTGGAAATTTAATTACCTTTCAAAAGTTTTATTATAAATTTTACCATATAACATATACTTAGGGAGTTAGGCTCCATAACATTTTCCTTTTCGTTATAACTTTTTTCCTGAATTTTTTCGGGAATTTTGTCTATATACGAAAATTGAAAGGACAATGATTAGAACATTATAGGAAAGTTTCATCAAAATCGTTAGAGCCGTTTTTGCGCTACTGACTATAGAAAAACATGTTTTTCATTTATTGCGCATGGAGCACCGAATTTCTGTCACAGGCATCGGTAGTCAAAACCCTAGAAAATAAAGAAAGGGTACTTTTTGTCTAGCAGGCCGAACTGAAACCTCACTTCTTATCTATCTTATCTAACTTCACGTCACATAACCTCCCTCTTCTTATCCCGCCAAACCTTTCAGTTATTGCATTGTTTAGTTTTCAGTTATTCCTTTATTACGTTCACTTATTAAATTCTTTACTTTTGGCCCGTTTGTGTTTATTTTTCATTATTTTTAGTTTTTGGCCCGTTTGTGTTTATTTTACATTTTTTTTAGTTTGTGGCCCCTTTGTGTTTCTTTTCGTCATATTATAGATCTTCTTAGAATATGGAATTTGCCGCCTTCAGAAGAACAGGCACTTCAATATTTTTAAAATGTTGGGGTACTTGCCGACGTGAAATTGTGTGAACGAGGTCATCGAATGAAGTCAATCAGGAAGGCCAAATGGAGATGCTTTCGTAGGACTTATGACACAAAACTTTCAATAAGGAAAGGAATATGGTTGGAGGGCTCGAGGATTTCGTTTTTAACAGCTTTAAAATTGATTTATGGATGGTCCCATAGCTTGACAACAATGAAGTGGGGCAAAGAGCAGCTGAAACTATCCTACGGAGCAATGGTAACGTGGAACAAATGTCTAAGAGAGGTTTGTGTCCATGACATGTTATACAGGCCAAGAAAAAAAATTGGAGGACCTGGCAAAGTGGTTGAAGTAAAAGAAAGTCTTTTTTCTAAACGAAAAAATCATGTGGGGAGAGTTTTTTACCTCAGCAGTGGATATTTGGTGGAGTTTGCCGAGAAACAGATGAATGTTTTATCTTTTTATAAAACAGATTTTGTTTTATATTTTTTCTTTTCTATGTAAATATGTTCTTTTAAATGTGTTTTTTTATTATTTCATTTTGATGTTTTATATGTACATATCTTCTTTAAGTTTTTTTTTTATTATTTCATTAATATATGTGTCGTCAAATAAAAGTATTTTTTTTGTTATTACATTTGTTTTTGTAACTGTTTACACTTTCAATAATACGAATTTAATACAATAATACGAAGATATGAAGTAAAAGAAGGCTTATCACTGCGTTATGGGAGTTATCAGTGTTCAGGTTATAAACATTGGCAGATAGCAGTCAATAGCGGCCCCCTAAACGAAAAGTACCAAAAAAAGAAGCAACAAAATCGGTTCTGTAGTTACCAAGAAAATCTTGGCACAGACAGACAGACCAATGGCTAAAAATGTGTTTTTCGGACTCAGGGTGCTCTGAAACGTATAGGTCCGTCGAAAACCGCATGCCGGAAAATTGACCCGATTGCAATACTTTCCTTACCTAGTATAGGTAGAAAAGTAAAAATGGTTGTATCAAATAGACTCTTGGTTTAATTGAGTATTTAAAATATATATCTCCTTTTAGAATTTATTTTAATTTTGAATGAAGATTTAAATTAAATAATTTTGATTATTTTTCAATTTTTTTTCTAGGGGCTAGACAATGAGAGTGATGCTGCATTTTCTATGATGACAGATAATACAGCCAAATTGACATCAGCTGTTAATTCCCTGCCGCAGCTTTTGGAGAAGAAAAGGCTTATCGACATGCACACTACAATTGCTACAGGTAACTGGGCAGGGCTCTACAGTATTAAATTAATTTAGTCATTTTTCATCTAGAAATAATCATTTTACATTATACTGAATCAAGTGTGGTATGTATCAAATGTGTCAGTATACTAACTAATTAGTTTTACTCAGAGACAATAGAGCGGAAAAAAAAATAGAAAGATATTTCTGGGATGGAAGTTTTGAAGTTGGAAACACAAATCTAAACTAAGTAGTATAAGATATCCATCAGCATGAGCTAGGCTTTAACCCTACTCTAATGATGTTTCTCAATCCACACCACTTTTCATTAACACTAATCATCTTCACAAATATCCATAAGAAAATGTGAGACTTTTTGCATTGTTATTACCTAATTTTCCGAATTAAAATTGGAAATTACCAATATTTTTAAACATCATTATTTATGTTTTTGACTTCTAAATAATTGATTACAAAAAAAAAAAAGTATATTTATATTGTGATAAATAAAAAAAATTCATTTAATTCTGGTACTCTTTTTACCTTTAGCAGTTGAGATAATGATGTTTTCTGAAATTGACTAAATGATGGAAATCATTTTTGAAGTGAAAACTTCTTTAGGCACGATTTGCACTTTTTTGTAGAGAGTGAATTAGATTGAGCTGTCAGATTTCCTCCAATGAAATACTTGAAGTGTTTTTGAATATGGATTGAAATATCTCAAAAACTAAAAATCAGACCTGCATACCGTAAGCAAGGGAATTGTTCAGCGTTTCATCCTATCCGTACATATATTATTACAGTAAGGTTCGAAATCGGTTTTGTACCAAATATAAGCTCCTGTCATGCTCAAATACCATGAATGGGGTACCGTTCGATTCAGAATTTCACTGGGGGGTTAGCGAATCGTATTCTCCACTTTTGTTTTTCTTTCTAAAATAAATAAAGTCGATACAAACATTTTGCTAGGCTTCGATACTGGAACGGTGGTAGGTCTGTAGACCGATATGGAACAAATTGGATCTTGAAGATTTTGATGTGTACAGCAAAACCCGGATAGTTCCTCTGTAACTATCGGATCCTGCGTTTTTAAGCTCCAAAACGTACTATTTTTGAGATAATGCAAGGCATAGGGTTCGCATCCATACAACCTTACATTTATTGTAGTACTGCCATTGAATACATGTCTCATTTTGTCGACTTGAGGACCCTATGATCGAGAGAGAAGGAGTTTATATTATTTATCAATGGTGTTTTTTGATCGGCAAGCCATATCATTGTCAATTTTTCACCAAATCTCAAGATTGAGCCACCAATTTCGAAGCCTTCCTTCTCCTTCAGGCGGACAAAATAGTCCAATCACCCCCAAAAATTCAGGCAAACAAGCTATAACAAACTTTATTTGTGAATAACTAAAAAATTACACAACTTTTTCCTCGGTTATGCCCGTGATTATATAAAAGATTACTAAATTCCATACAAAAGAAAAAAAAGTCATCGAAATCGGACAATTTTTAGCAAAGATAAAGCTTACTGAAATTTGTAAACATGTTGGTTGGTTCCAAACAAAATTGAAGATTTAAATTAATTTTTGTTTTCTTTGTCGATTATATTTATCGATAAAGTAACATTTGATTTCTTTATCTTTTGATACGTTGCATTATTTTATTTTCTTATTAATCTGGCATTTGATAACAATATGCTCTGCGAATTTTTCGCGTGGGCCTACTATCTATTAATCAAAATTGTATCTTAACGCAACGCCGTGTTAGAGAGGTGAAAAGAGAAAAATTCTTGTCAAAAATCTAATAAAAGATAACGAGTTTAAGGGATGATATGGATTAAAATATTTCAGAAACTAAATATCGGACCTGCATACTGTAAGCGAGCGAAATTATCAGCATTCATCCTCTTTATAATGAACTATTATTTATAATTTATGTTTCATATTAATCTCATCTTGTTGATGTTTTCACTTCTATCATGTGGTCTAAAGCTCACACCTTAGTTTTTTTTTTTTCTGTTGACAGCTGTTTTGAATTCAATCAAATTGAGGAGGTTGGACACACTTTTTGAATATGAAGAAAAGATTATGGCCGGAACGACATTAGAGAAGCCTCTCCTAGATATTTTAACCGACACCGAAGCGGGCACTCCGGACGACAAAATGAGGCTGTTCTTGATTTATTACATCTGCACTGACTTGATTCCTGAGGTAAGTAATACATTCAAAATAGATATGATAATATTCTGAATCTCCTTTGACCTATAAATAAATAAAAATAAAATATTACTTTATGCATGCTTGACCTTAGTTCTTTTTACAGTGATACATTTGCTTAATTGTCAGAATAAATTAATCAAATGAGCCTTTGATTGTAATTTATTTAACGTTTCAAGGAAAACTTTGTCTCTGTCATCTGAAATGTATTATTCTACCAAGAAATAGATTAAGTACTGTTGAACCAATCTTATTGTATTAAATTTTGTGACACCCAATTTCTTGGGAGAATAATGTATAGCTGAAGCGTGTTTTTCTTGAAACGTTAAATAAATTGCAATCAAATACTCATTTGATTTATTTATTCTGACCATTCGGTAAATTTATCACTGTAAAATAAAATATTTTATTAATTTATGATCGTAGGATTTTATGTCTGTTTAACTCTCCTTAGTTTAGTTTAGAGTTTTTTTTTAACTGTATTAGTAAATAAAATTATCATTACAGACCGACCTCAACAAGTATTCTGAGGCTCTTCAAACTGTCGGATGTGATTCAGACGCGTTGAACTACATCAAACGGTGGAAGTAAGTTAGTCTTTTTGGTATGAATAATTATAATATTGTAAAATAGGTTGACCATGTTACATCTTAGATGACTTTGGTACAATGTTGATTTTTAAATTAAAATGTTTCTGACAGTCTTGAAAATATAGGGCTAGATTTTTTTTACTTCCTGCTCAAGCAGTTACAGGGTGGCAGTATACCTGGAAAAATGGGAAAAATCAAGGAATTTTTTTAGTACATAAATATTTTTTTCAAATTGGAAATAAATATACAGTGGATATCGTTTATAATGATCTTGAAGTACTATCTGGTAGCCACCTTAAGTTAGTTCATGGATTCACTAGGTACCTTTCGAGGCATCAGAAAAATTTTAATTTAAAAATAAACATTGTACCAAAGTCATCTTAGATGGAACATTGTCATCCCATTTGATCACATTTTTTAATCGATCGATTTGTATTTAAATTTGCCTCGAAAGCTTTATAAATCTTTTAATACTAATTAAAGCCGCATTTATCGTGCTTATTTTAGTCTTAAGTTTATTTCTTTGAAACCACTTTGTTCTTTTAGAATATCCTCTTCACTGTGATATATCTAACTCAAAAAGTTCTTTTAAACATAAATCTTTTGGTTCTAAAAATTTCTATAAATAGTAAAATTTTATATTGGATTAATACATATCCAAGATATGTATTTAAAAATATCCACAATGAAATATAAATCATTATAGCGTTTATAATTTTTACTTTCACTTCTCCTTTGTCTGAAAATACTTATTTCTGCTAAGCGAAAGTCGTGTGATGTGCGCATCGCACCAAATTTTTTTTTAAATATTGAGGCTTATTAAGAATTAAATTAACATAATTTACATCCAAGTTGGGACTGTATTTCTCTGTTATTTATAAATTTAACAATTTTATTTTTTATTATTAAATTTATTTATATAAAAAATTTAATTTTTATTTCAGAGCCTATGCTAAAATGGCTGCGATGCCGAGCGAGTATTCCGGAGGTGGTACGAAAACAGTCAGCATGTTTTCGAAACTAGTTTCTAAAGGATCTTCATTTGTAATGGAAGGAGTGAAAAATCTTGTCGTTAAAAAGCATGTTAGTTTTCTTTTTGTACATATGATTACTTTAAAATAATTTAAGATTCATACTCCTCATGTTTCTGATTTGGCCCAATCCAGATATCTATCCTTCCATAATAAACTTCATAACCATCCCAACTCTCTTGTTTCTAACCTTGCTTCCTCTTCAATTCTTGATAAAGAAGATGGTCCTGTGATCTCTTAATGTAGACATATTATTAGAGTGCTACCAGTGGGTAGTTTCTCAACATGTGTTTCATTTAATAGATTTTTTTTTATACAGTTGTAAATATCATAATAAATAATTTTAAAAATTTCAAAAAATCCTATTGAAGAAACAAAAAATGTAATCACCTCGAGCTCCTTTGTAATCAATGTCATTTATAATCAATGTCTCTAGCTTGTTGAAAGCTTTTACATTACCTGTCCAGAAGAGATTTATAACACTAAAAAAAAAAATTAAAATGATATTTTGCAACTGAAAGGTGTTCCTAAGATTATTTTTCATACTGATTTCAAATAAGATTTTTTTCTGCGCCATCTAATGTTGTCATGTCTTTGTAAAGAAAAGCTCAATGTTATTACTGGTTCAGGTTTTTCTCTGCTTATTACTGTTGGCTGTAGATTAATCTTGAAGTTCAATTTCTTTAGTGCTAGTTCGTAAAATAATTTTTCTTTTGTGCCCTCCAGGATAATATATGAAAAAAGGCAGTTATTTCTATCACATAAATGTCTGTTTAAAAATGCTAAAACTATAAATGGTATTTTCTTTAATTTACAGAACCTACCTGTGACGAGGATAGTAGATCAGCTGATGGAGATGAAGGGATGTGATGATTACAGATATTTTGATCCGAAACAGTTGAGGTCTGTCGATCCCGCTCGGAACAAAACCACGGCCAATGAAGCAATCGTTTTCGTCGTCGGTGGTGGCAATTATATCGAGTATCAAAATCTCATGGATTATGCTAAGGTAACGTAGTCATAGGGATAAAATATTTTCTATAAATACATAATATATTTTGCCATTATAAATCTGTTCTGTTTAACGGAAAGAATTAGAATCAAAGGGGTCTAGATATTAAAATGTAAATATTGAGTTATTTTCATTTACAGTATTTTTACTAAAATAATAAATAATAAGGTTCTGAACATTGTGGGTTCGATTCCCACTCTGATAAGTATGTCACGACAACACAAGGTACCCTTACCAGTACATATAAAAATATTTATATGTATATTTTTTTTTCTTATCCGAGCTTGTTTATTATTGTCTTGCTCATACTTTAGGATTAAATTTTTAAAGAGGTTCCTAAATGATCCAACTTGATGAACTTTGATAAACCTGACAAATTTGGTTGAAAAATTAAAATTGTATTTTCTTTGGGTCTGAGGTCGCCTTTTTTTTTTTTTTTTTTTTTTTAGTTAGTATGTATATGCATTTATTTCTGTCTCAGTTCCAGTTTTGAATGTTTGGAAACAGTGAATAAAGTAGTTTGAGTCATTTGCTAAGGATATTCCAATTCTTATTTATATTGTTAAAATGACTCAATATTTAAATCAAATTTGTCAGAACTGTTACTGCAGTAGTTGCAAATGGATGAAAGAACAATATATACTATAGAATTGTTTTTTCATTGTTAAGTTATTTTATACTTGGTTCTTTTTTTCGACTAAATATATTTATATAGCTAGTGTTGATTAATGGCAATTAACTCAAATTTGAAGGAAAGAAAAAGTTGGCTTATACTGCTTGGCTATCTGACCCCATTTAGTTTTAGCTTTAAGAAATATATGGAAAACTAACTTTAAAAATTCTTTCAGAGTAAATCGGGAGCTGGTAGCGGACCGTTGAAAAGGATCGTTTATGGTTCGACAACGCTCACCAATTCCAAGCAGTTTTTGAAACAAGTGAGTCCTTGTACTTATTATTTATTTATTGCCTATTGTTGATTGGTTTTTCAGTTTTGTGGTGAATTACTTTTAAACATAATTTTAACAGTGCTTAATCTTATTAAGTACTATAATCCTAAATTGAGTCAAAATTTGGCGACCTGTTTGAATATTTAGTCATTTTCTGTAATAATGGCCATCCTTTAATAATTAATTAAGTGAGTTACAATAATATTGCATGGCTGCCCAACTGTATTGAGTTGTTAAATCACAGAGCATAGAGTTATCAGTTCCAGAGATATTATTTAAAACCATAACAAAAAAGAATTAATAGGAACAAATAAGCGAAGGCAAAGTTGAATATATTTAGTGATTATTGATATTTATGTTAGGTTACGATCAGGAAAATTCCTACCACACAGCCTTATATCTCAAAAATATAGGTAAAGAATAAAAAAAAAAAAAGAAAAACTTCATCGTTTTGCCGATTCAGGCATCATGAGGAATTACATCTGATAGCATACTGGAAAGAAGGTAAGGATGCCTGAATTGATGAAATGTTGACAGGTTTTTCTTTACCTGCATCTTGAAGAAATAAGACCCTGTGGTTGGAATTTTTTTCCAATTATAACCTAAAATCGAATTTCTGTCTCTTGCTGTGTTTTTTTACATTAATATATTTTGTGAAATAGACATTTATCTATTGTTCTCTTTTGATATGTAATCTTTATATCTTAATTTTATTAATTAAATAAGAGCAGTAGTTAATAGTGAAAATGTGGATTTAGTTAATAATTATGCAAATCGATATTCATTTTTTAATGATAATTTTTATATATTTTCAGTTATGCCTTCTCGGAAAAGAAATGCACTGACAAGAAAAAGCAGGCTATATCTCTAACGAGTTCATCACAGACATATTATTATTGTCTCATTCATTTCATCCATGAGCCTTATTATTTTGTATATGTATATATATATATACATCATATTTAAAACAATTATTGTGTTCTATTTAGTTCTAAATATAGCTTTGTTTTCTTTTGTAAAGCATATTAAATGTATTAATTTCAAGCTTTGCAATAATTAATGTTCCATGAATTCAGAGTTCACTATCTGTGACACAGCCCCATTTAAATTTTATATTCTATTGTTATTGTTATCTAACTTTTGATTTCCTACTTGTGTGTATAAGCAAATATTTATTATTATTACTGGTGATTTTGTTATTATATTTTCATTTTTATCTATGAGCACTATTGATTTTAATTAACAGTAGTGTATCTATTTTTTTTTTCCTGTTTTTATTGTATTCCAAAGTTACAAATATTAAGGTTTAAGATATTTTGTTTATATTTGTGGCTTTTCATTTTTTATGCTAAATATTTTTATAAAAATAAGTTATAAAAGCAATAAAATTAGATTTAATTGTTTATTTATACTGTCTATTGTCTGGTGATATTATTTTTGTACATAAACATCTTGTTGTATATAATGATAACTTCTCAATAAAAATGGAAAAGTTTTGAATGTCTGATAGTAAAATACTAATATACCCCAGTATTTAACTCTCACATCAGATAACTATACTTCTCCCTAATAAATTTGAGATATGAACAATATCAGCAAAATATGTATTTACAAAATCCTTTTATATATTATATTTACAATATTATATTATATTTAAATATCTATATTATACTTTTATATATATTTATAATATCCTTTCCAAATTTTATATATTTACAAAATCAGGGGTACCCATCCCTCCCGAGGTCAATGGAGCAAGAATCTACCCCCACCTCCTCGCTAGATATTTTATTGTTCAGCGTAGATTATATACAATTACACTTGCTGCAGTCTGTTTCATGTTTTTCCTTTGTCCTTTAGCCCGAAAATTCATAACCCCATAGAAATTCATCCCCCTCAAAAATTCAAAAACACGTCAAAATAAGCCTCCTCACAAATTTTTATGGTGCAACTTGTGCCATGAAACTCCCTTCTGGGCACCCCTGTATAAAATAATGTTATCAAGATAATCTATTAAACAGACACAGAATTACTGAAACTTCATACTTAACCATTACTGTATAAATCATCTGTATCAGTTTACTAAATAATAATATTATAATTTGTTTGGTGCAGAAGAGCTTTAATTTCTAGTTATCTCACTTACTGAGAGTACTGAAGTCTGTTATTGAGAGTATAGTAAGCATACCTGGATGTTTTTTTTTTTATTTATTTAAAAATATTCAAAAATTTTAGTCCGTGGTACAGACCCTTTTTTATCAAATTATTAACATTCACCTAAAACTTAGGAATTTGAATGTTTTCAATCTGGAGATCGGCAAACTGTGTCTATTTAATTAGGTACTAAAAAATCATGAATACGCAATTCCTTTCCACTTGAATTATAAAATAATATGATGACAAAATAAAAATAAAAAACCTACAAAAATATTGGACCGTTTGGCCTGTATAACCATGTTATTTTGACATATTGAGAGGTATATACGCCAAACAGTCCAGCATTTTTGAAGGCCACCTTTTCTTTCGATTTTGTGATCATATCTTATGATTCAAGTGGAAAGGAAATTGGTATTCATGAGTTCTTAGTACCTAATTAAATAGACAAAGCTTACCGATCTCCAGATTGAAAACACCAAAATTCTAAGTATTTTCATAAATAAAATATTTGTAGGTTACGATCAGATGAAGCTATTTACGAAGTTTTTGGCAAATGTTAATCACTCGATGAAAGGGATCTGTATCACAGACTATTTCTATATTGTCCGAAGTACCCCTGGGTCTTTTCTAAAATCTTTTCAATAGATTTTTAGTTCGTCAATTCGTGCTATTGTTTTGAATTTTATTACAGCTAATATTTACATTTTTTTTCTTTAAAGTACCCATATGTTAAGACAAGTGTTCCACAAGGTTATGTATTGGGTCTAGCTCTCAACATCTTCACGGGCGATGTCCCTTGTCATTTTAAATACTTTCATGGTAAGTAATGTTTCGTGTTGTTCCTGCCATACTATCCTCCCATTCAGATCCAGCAACGGGATGCCTAAATCTGCAAAAGTATCTTTCCCTGATTGAGCAGTAAAGCATTTGTCAGATATTACTACTTATTATGATTCTCAGCCTTCCCTAACCTCAAATATCAAATCTGTCTTGAAATTATGTAGTATCTTCCAATTCCAAAAATGACCAAGTTTATTGAGGATTTTCTCACGTCTTTAAGGTGAGCGGAAGTCGTAAGCAGGAATGTAATTTGTTGGTCAAAAGTTGTACCGGAAAGTGATTTGATTGAAATTGCGCTCACCGCCAGGAATTTCCTTTTAATTAAATATTTTATTGAGTATCCATTTTATAAAGGATAGATGTGTAATAATTGCTGACACAGTCTGATTCAAATCTCAGCCCTTTAGTTTTTTTGTTTTTTTTTATGGTTTTAAGATTTTAAACAAAATCCAATTTTGCGGCCTTTGCTTAGTACAGTTTGTTAGCCCACTCCCATTCTTAATAATTAGTTACATTAATTTAAATGTAATTGGATGAATATTCATTTCGCCTTAAATATAAATTTTACAACTAAACTTCCCAGGTATTTGGGTATTTATCACCGTTGTCTTATTATTAACCATTATTTGTCGTATAATATTTTATCTCTGATTGTATTAAAATATTTTCAAAAAATTTATAATGATTGTGTTCTGAATATTTATCACACTATATAATCGAAATGTTTGCTTTCATTTTGCCTTGAATAAAAATTTTATGATTGAACTTTCAAAGTATTTATGAATGCTAGTTTCAATTCAGTGTCACAGTTCGCCCTTGGGCTAAAATATTCTTGTGGAGGAGCTATGATGATTAATTTTATTTTTATTTACTTATTTTTAAATTTCAGATGCTAGCTGCAAATATCCAGAGATGACAAAATATGCAATACAACTCTTGGTTGCTACAGCTCTTCGTGTCAGCTATTGCGACACCTTTTCTAATGATTTTAATGAAATTTAGTATTGAACAGTACTATATGAAAGTATGAAAAAAAAAACTCTATTCATGAAACCATAGAAGAACTTATATTTTAGTTTTAACTCACATTATGGATAACGTTTATCTGAGATCAAGATTTGTGTTAATAAAATTTTATTTTACAATAATAACATTACAGTAAATTATTAAAAGTAATTAATATTAATAGTGTGATCTTTCATCGAGCAGGTGAATACAATCGCCGAATCCTTCCCAGAATATTTGGTCCAGTTTGTGCTATTCAAGACTGGAGGCAGAGAACCAATGCAGAACTGCTAGAACTTTTCCAGGAAAGTTACATGGTCAGGTTTATTAGGATTGGTCGACATCGCTGGGCAGACTGTGTGGCTAGGATGCCTGTATTGCCTGATATCCAAATTTAAAGAAGCTCCTCACTGAACAGATATTCAGAAGAAGGCCAATTGGAAGACCCGAATTGCATTGGGCTGATGTGGCTTGGCGGCTGATGTGAGACCCATCTTTAATATAAGAGAAGAGAAGGATGGTTAGGGTGATCAGTAAAAATCAATAATTATATTTATTTTTATATTTGCTGACGTTTTGACCTTCGTCAGGGCTGTTCAATCCAAAAAGCGTGGAAAGACATTCTTTTGATGTCTTTGGTCTTTCCACGCTTTTCGGATTGAACAGCCCTGAGGAATTAACTTCAGGCCGAAACGTCGGCAAATATAAAAATAATTATTAATTATTACTATTTTTGATTTTGATTGATCACCCCAATCATCTTTCTCTTCAATTATTCACTACAGTCATCCATCAACCCACACTTAGTATAAGAGATTGGAATTCGGCTGATTTGAACAAAAATGACTGGTGACTGCTGTTATAGGAGGCCTTGAACCCACGTGGATTGTAGTCCCAATGAAGAAGAAGTGTGATATTTCATGCTAACTTGTTACCTAAATACAGTGGTGATTTGTGTTCATAAATAAACTCAGATGTAAATCTAATAAGGTTTTGATGAAGAGAACACCTAAAATAAAATATAATAAATACATTTAAAAAAATTGTGTGCCAATAGGGATTTTCAATAAAATATAAAAAGAATTTTACGAAAAGAAAGTGCAATTATCTAATTGACAGTTTTGTCCTTACCTATTATAATAAATAAAAAAGATAATTTTAAATTAAGTTTAAAAAACATTTTAATTTTAATTTTATTTTGTAAATAACAAATATAATTATTACTGAATATTGTTAATCCATCCACTATTATTTCTGATTTAATTTTTATTATTTATATAAAATAAGTTTTATTTTGTAACAGTGATGTAATCACGATTTGAGGAATATTAAAGCAAAAATTGTGATCTATACAATAAAATTTTAGATGTAACACCAGCATACACAATTATCCGAAACATCAAAGCAAGAATAGTACTATTGTTTTTTTTTCATTATTTCAATTTTTAATACATTAATTTGACACTTCATATAATATTTATGGAGTGGGGAATAAACACATATTAAGTAATTATCAATAAATAGAATTTGTATTCAATAAACTGTTTTAATTATAATTTTTGTATTACAATTTTCCAGTTTATTGTTCAAATTAAAAGCATAAAGTTAGTTATCCACAGTTATCTTTATATTTTAAGGATTAATTTTCTAGTTATTAGAATTTTTTAAGTAGAATATTCATCACCGTTGAACAAATCAACTTTCTCAGTGTTCAAGATCTCTCTGATTGATTGTGTATGTTGGATGATTAAGAAACCTTTCATCAAAAGCAGGAATATTGTAACCGCTGAGCGAGTATCTTTTTTTTTGTTCAACAAACAGAATAACAATAAACAATTAAGAA